GACAGGTCTGAGCGCCGCCATATTAGAAATCTGAGTTGAGTGCGTTCTGATTGGTTGCGTGCTGACGACGCTGACCAATAAGACATGCGTTACATTTTAGCGTACATTTTACGCGACATCCAAGAAAAATGATAATTTTTTAGATTTCTCGACTTTGGATGCATATATCTTGATTTATAAAGCACACAGAGCAAAAACAAGCATATTTTTCTTATGTAATTTGGGTATGCGCTTTTGATTGAGCCTATTACCAACTCAATCGGCCCAGCCGTTATTGAGATCCGATAATCTCGGCTCATCTGAACCTTCCGTCTCGCGTAAATCGCAAAGTAGAAATCAATTTAAGTACCTCAGAGATATACTATGTTAAGTACTATGATTTTGTATACACGTGTATTTTAATAATTTTAATATTTTTTGTAGCGCAAAATTATAAAAAGATTTTTATTTCTGATTTTGCTAAAAATTATATGTATATAGATTGTCTAAAGCGAACTTGAATATAGGTAGATTTAACAATTTTGACCAAAAAAGAAATTTATAGTAAATGGAAATATAATGGAAAGGCTCCATATGTTAACAAACGAGAAATACAATGAAATGGATAAGAGCAGGATGTTAGTACTAAATTTTAATTTTTCTTAAAGAAATTAGTAAATTAGTCTACATGAGACAGTTAGATTGTACACCGATCTCAGATCGAGATACCTAAAGTGTACGAATTTATAGTAAATTATAAGTTTTCAGGAAATTAAATGCAGAGATAAAACACATAATTACCTACTAAATGTATGCCATAATGTTGCAAAATTAACATATAATACTTTATCAAACTAAACACTAAGAATTATTCACTTCAGATACGTTTACTTTTAGTACCATTTTGCTTCAATATATTGATATTGCCTCATAGTTTGTAATTAATTAAATCAGAAATGTGAGTACAAATTACCTCATGTATTGTATAAAACTAATCCTTTGAAATATTTTATTATATTTATTAAAAATACTGAGATTTAAGCAAACCAGAATTAAAAATTGTATATTACCCTTGTTATGTCCATAGTTCATTTAATGAACACCTACATGCAAATACGTATGTACAGATGTGTGGGTATGCGCGTTGCAAAATAAATAAATGCTACAATTATTAATAGAATATCTTAAAAAAAACTTCGGTCTTTAATTTCAATTTTAATTCTCTGACTGAAAAAGAACATGATTTAATAAATAAACAAATTTAAATTTGTTTAGTACCGAGAAATAAATAAACAAGAACACTTCTTCTACATGAATTATAAAAGAAAAAAGAATGAAATTTGATTGCTGAGCCAAGGATAAAGAACAAATAATTACGTTGACAAACTAATCTAAGCTAAAAATTTTTAAATATGCATTTTTAAAATTTTTTAATCTCTCAGTAAATTCTATACCAGTGCACGGTCCGAAAGACACGTTAGCCACGCCATTATCCGTTCAGCTTTGTAACCCAAGTTTCAACATTGATGTCCTGTGTGGATACGGATATTCTGACGTGATAACGCTGACGGACGAACGCGGCAGCATCTGAGAATTCGTGGCTGCAGGCGCTATTCCTCCTGGCGAGCAACGCCGGATGTTGAAATTCCGTTGCGTTTCGCAATTCAGATCGCCGCAGGCGAATAAAATGCCCTATCAAATCGCTGTATAACTCTTGTAACGATGTAGACATCGCTTCTACGTAAGAGGATTACGCTTCTCGTATTGGTATTTTTGGGATAAATTTCATCAAGTGTTTATTGTCTATTTTTTGAAATTTAATTTCTCTTAACAAACCGTAGCAATTCGTGCTTTTAAAAAAGTGTGTAGAAGAAAAAAATATTGCAGACAACGAGTTGCAGAGTTCACAGAACATAATATCATTAAATTAATACTTTAAGAGATGCTTTTTTTGTCTCTTTAATGAGCCGTTGTCAATATTAAAAGTACATTCATTTATAAATACTAAATATACACTAATTAAGCAATGATTAGCAATTAATAAAGAGTCTAATTATCGCTATTTGTCACTATTATGTCATACAGTTGGCATAAATTATAAAGCGTAAAATATTAAACATAAATCAATGAATTACATCAAATAGTTTAAAGGTACAAACACATGGAACGCTAGACAGCAGCGTTGACACTGGTCACGTGACTAAAATTTGTCGCTTAGCATCAGAGGAAAAAGTTGGATTCATGCAACTTCAAGCGTTATTAACTCGCGTCTTTGCAATAGTTTTCCTCTCTTCATTTAAAATCAATTTTAAAAACACGAGTGAAATATTAAATATTTATTTATTAATTTATCAATTATATAATAATAAAAACTTTTTGTATCATGTTTCCTAAACGTATGAAACCATTGAATACGTTGTGTTAGCTAAGTTTATTATATGTAATCACACAGTGTACAATAAAAAAATATTTATTAACAAAACAATTTAGAAACAAAGCTTTTAGATGTCTCTAAGAAATTTTAAGTTTTTAAAAATTGCCCAGTAAACACAAGCTAACAGTAACATAACATCAATGTTATAATTTTCCACTCAACAATGTAACTGCAATATGACATGCCCTGTACGTAATTACAATTATTTATGTTGTTAAGTGGGAAACATTAATGTTATGTTACTGTTACTTTGTGCTTACTGGATTGATGATATATAATTATCAAAAGTAAAAAAAACACGATCCTATCCTATTATACCAATCTGCTTTTTATCTTCATAAAGCAAAATTAAAACATATCTTTCCTTTTTAAATAGTTTTTTGTTTTTTTCAACAATTTCTTGTTTTTTTCACGGGATGTTTTACTCTATCTGGGGTAAAACGGACTAAAATTAAGTTTTATAAAAATCTTAACAACAATTAAACTTGCAAGTTTTGAAAATTTAACATTATGATCTTATAATAAACATTCTAAGGTTTTCTTATGTTAAGTTTTAGCTATTTTTTGTCATTAACGTAAAAAATATCACCATTCTCGCTTAGGTAGTCCATTTAAACGAACAAATACATGTATAAAATTTAACAAAATTTGACAATGCATTCCATTCACAAAAGCGTCTGGACATTACAGCGTCAATTCTGGTCATTTTGTTCCGTGACCCATTTTGTCGCTCAAAACGAGCGTCAAGCGTCACCATGTGAAGGTACTTTAACTGCAACACGCGTTTTCTCTTCATGCTTTATTTGGCGAATTTCGTGCGGTGTTTCGTAGACAGTAGGCGTACAGCCCCTTTCGCGGAGCTGCGACCATTTGAAGAACGTATTACGTTTTATGACACGTGCGATAGAATCATTGAGCTCTATAACATACTGGAGTGAGCCTTGAAAGAGTGGGGACCCCACTGTGGAAAGAGAGAGTTTGCCGGGGGTTATCTATCTCATCCCCACCAATACACGGTGTGAATGTGGAAGGAGTATAGACACCCCTCGGCTACTATTGCTCTCCTTGGCCCAAAAATTACACATTGCCTCTTATGGGAAAAGGCTATCTCCAGTATGTTATAGAGCTCAATAGGTGGAATCAGATGGGAGCAAACGAGAAGCGATACCTTACTCTCTTGATACTTTCGCTACGTGCGGCAATGCAGTGCACTTTTTCAGTTTATTTCTGTTACTTGAACAATTGTAAAGTTTGCAAATTTTATTTTTGCAAGTATCTAACGACAGTCAAAAATTGATTACAATACAAAGTCCATTAATACATTACAAATAATGCAAAATACTAACCTCTTGACTTT